GGTCGATCTTGACCGGATCGCCTTCAAGGAACTTGACATCGGCTGGAAGCACATCACCGAGACGAATGCGAATCACGTCGCCGGGCACGAGCTGGCTCGCGGGAATGTTGACCATGGCGCCGTCGCGGAAGACCTTGGACTCGGGCGCAAGCTGACCCATGAGCGCCGCGACAGCATCGCCCGCCTGGATCTCCTCAAAGAAACCGATGCACGCGTTCAGCAGCAAAAGACCGAGGATCAAGGCAAAGTCCGGGTAGTCGAGCAAGATGATCGAGAGAATGGCCGCGACCTCCATGGCCCATGAGAGCGGGTTCCACATGAAGCCGAGGAAGACCATACACTTGTTGACCTCGTTCTTGGGCAGGGCGTTGGGTCCGTGCTCGATGAGGCGCTTCTCGGCCTCGGCCGACGTCAAGCCGTCGCGGGTCGCCTTGAGCTTGTCAAGGGCGGCGTTGAGTGGCATGGCGCCCCACTCAATCTGACCGGCCTCGTTGACGTAGTTTTTCGCATCGTTGGGCGTCGTCATGGGTTGATACGCTGCCATGGTTGTCGTTGCAGGCGACCGCAAATGCAAAAGTGAGCGACGATCTTGGCGCGGCGCGACGCCATATGGTGGCCGCGTGTGTCGCGTGGTTACGCGATTGCCCTAGCCCTCGTCCAACGCCGCTTGCCATCGCATCAGTGCGCGACATGCTTCGTCCGATGATGTGGCGAAGCATCGGTGCATTGCGTGGAAGAGCCCTGCAACTATGGATCGACCAGTTGTAACTCGTGGAAGGTGTCCTAGGAACCTGCCTTGCTTTGTGAACATTACGGACATGTTTGCAGGTACGTTGACCCACCTAACGACGCATCAACAATAAAGGGTTGGTTTTGATGAGCTATTACTTGACGCCTTCGATGTCATGTCCATCCTCGGTTTGCTCTGTTTTCGAAATGTCGACTTCTACCTGAATGCTCGCCTTTGCCACTATTTCAGGAGGCTAGAGTGGTACCTAAACTGGTATCATTGACGCCCATTAAAATGTGCCTTGGCCAATAGCAAGAAACTAGTGAATGGGTCCTGTCAAGCACCAGACAACTTATGAGGTGCTCTTGTACATGCAACGACCCCACTGTATTCCTTACGATAGTGTTAGTAAAAGCGTTCCCTATTCAGCAAATCGTGCGGTGGTGAGTGATCCAAGGGCACGTGTTTTCGACTCCTCCACTCACCGCTTTCAGAATGTTCGGTACAGCTACCACTATAGAGTCATTCGAATGACCTCCCTTTTAAAAGACTCTTTGAAAAGACTCTTTGAAAAGGCTTTTTTAAAATTATATCAAATGACTCTTTTC